GCCGGTGGTTTTTTTTTGCCTGCAGGGTGGCCGGGGAAGCTCGGGTGGATGTCTCGGCGGCGGTAGGAGACGGAGAGGCCTCTCCGGGAGGAGGAAGGCGCTTCTGGCCTGCCCGTCGGAGAGCCATGGCTGTGGCCGTCACCACGAAGACGGCGTGGAAGCTCCGTGAGTGTCGCTGGGCTGAGGGAGGGCAGAGCAGTTCCCCCCCCGCGGGGGAGGGGGGTGGAAGGGGCGGTCTGTGAGAGGAGCCAGCTAATCCCTGTCTTGGGTGTAGATGCCCCGGCCCTCTTCCCAGGCTGCTGACTGGAATTGTTCATGCCTAGAAATCCTTTTTGAAAGCATATCTGCATAGTGGAATAGCGTAGGGCCTTTACATTGCTATTTTCAAAAGGTCACGGCCTGTTTTTTTTGCTGTAATGCCATCCTAAATTTCTAACTAACCCCACACGACTCTCCTGTAGCACAGGAACAACCAAGGGAGTGATGGAAACCTAGCTCCAGAGCCTGGGCTGTGGCAGGAGGTCCCTCAGGGTCGGTTTAGCCCCTTTGGGGTGTCCTTCATTGCTGCTCACTTGTTACAGAAGGTGCACTGAGACCTGCTGCGGGAGGGGTGAGGTGATCTTTGCAGGACCTGTAGATCTCATGCTTTTGAAATTGCTTTGCAAGAGACAGTAAGAATCTGCTGCTTTTATATCTGTTCTTTTTCTTCAGATGGAGAAGTCAACAGTTGCTGACTATAATTTCTAGCTGCTTCACTCATCACTGATGAGGTTTTTTTTTTATAGGAGTTGTTGAGGAAGGCATAGAAGCAATGGGAAGTGATGGGTTATTCAGGGCCTCCAGCTTTAGACTAGTGACTTGGTCTAGAAGTTGGCTAGCAGAAATATGACGTTCATGACTGCTAACACGTTCAGGGAGCTGAGATAATCGACTTAGTAATTTCATATCTTTTTGAGCAGAAGGGCAGTTTGTGTGCCATTCCTGCAACTCCACTTATAGGAAAAGCTGGAAGTTGATCAATATTCTCTTGTAAGTGGGCAGAAGTTCTTGATCTTTGTTTTTGCTAGGCTCTGCCCTGCCCTGCCTGAGCATCCTCTTCAGAGCAAGAAGCGTTCTGAATATTAGACATGCTTTGGTGATGCTAATTAGAAGCTTAGTATTGCTGAGCTGGTGGGTGATACCTGATGACAAATACTTCATTAAAAAAAAGTTTGTGGGTTTAAAGGAATTGGCACTTCACCCAGTGAGAGGATGAAGCTTTCTGGCCAAGGCTGGCACCAGGTTATAACCTGGCTTTTCCAAACAGCATTTTGAGTACTTCAGCAATGACTTTTAAGCTTACAATATATTGTTAAGAATGAAAACAAGAGGAGGGGAGACAGTGGAGCTGCTGACTCACTGATTTCAGCAGCAATGCTCAGCATCCTTTGAATTTTAACTAGTGAGTTGGTCTGTTAATACTAATTGAACTGTTTGTTACTTTCAAGTCTGTGTATACGTAAATACTTTACTTTGATCTTTCAACACAATGCAAGCATATTTTCAGATTTGCCTTTCTCATGTAATTTACAGTCCAGTTACCTTTGTAATTTGAAAGGTATTTCTCCAGCTAAAGTGAAAGTTGCGCAGTTTTGCTTTCAAAAAAGTACTCTGAGAGTTTGAGATCAAAGTACCTGTAATTATTGCAGCTGCCTAATATCCTTTCGGATTAGTGTTGCATGTAAAATGATCAAATTGTTCCTCACACCATAACAATTCAAACAAAAGCTGAGTTGATTGCTACCTAGCCTTTTTACAAACAAGTTTCATAACTATTGGCGTGCAAATCCCATGAACTGTCACAGGAGAGAACTATAAGATGAAGAAGCTGGTAAATACGTCTGCCAAAAAGACCTCGCCAAAAATTTGCTGTAAAAATAAGATGTTTAAGCAAAGATATTCATTTGGCTTCTGTTCGGCCCCAAAATTGGTTTTTTCTGATGAGGGTTCCTTGGAGTTCTGTTGTTGTGAAGCCCTCTGTGTCAGAGCTTCCCCTCAGCCCCCAGTTTTTTAACAAACAGTCTTTTAGTATCAATCACATTTGTTCTTTTGTGCTGTTCAGGCACTTTCCTTCTTTTGTCACAGTTTCACGCTGTGCGTTGCTAAGTTTCACCTGTGTTGCATAGTGGGAATGTGGCAAAGCCTCTGCCAAAGCTCAGAGAAGGGAGCTCCACCTATCCCAGCTGCCAAGCCTGACTTTTTTTGCTGTGTAAGGTAACAAACTGTACTGCTGCTAATCTGCCAGTTCTCCTCAGGTTGGATGCTCTGCTGCTGCTTTCTAGAACAGGATTACAGGGCATTAATGCTAGATGACTCTGGCTGCTGCATATTATTGCAGCTTCAGAGACAGCTTGGCTTCCTGAGACCCAGCTGGGTAAAGCAGCTTCTGTGAGCAGGTTTCCAGAGTTGAGCAAATCTTTTAAAAACTATGGAGTTAGTGAGAGAAGGGGCTTTTTGAAAGCCACATCAGCACTGGAGTCATGAAGCTTGGTCAGCAAACGTCTGAAGTGCAGCAGGCAGGGCCAAGAAGGACTGTTTCAAGCGTGATAATAGCGTGTCTTCTTATCTGAACTGTGGGCTGCTGCAGCTTGTCTGGTGGAAACTGGAAAATTTTTCTGGGAAGACGACTTTTTTAGTCCTTTGGGAAGGATGGGGTGCAAATTGTTATACTAGTCTGTAGTAACTCTTTGTTTTGTGCAGAAGAGATCACGGCTCACAGCAGCAATGTGTCCTCACTGGTTCTGGGAAAAAGTTCAGGCCGGCTGCTCGCAACTGGAGGAGATGACTGTCGGGTCAATGTATGGTCAGTTAACAAGCCCAGCTGCATCATGGTAAGAACAGGCCTGTTCTCCACTTTTGGGGGATGGGAATATTAATTCTGAGGTATGGAGGGTGTGAATGAGGGGGGAAAAAAATGTTGAGTTGTATCCTGGAGTACTTGTGAATAGAGTTTACCAGCACAAAGCTGGATGACCATATTCTAGCTAAAGATAGGGATGGAATTTGGTAACTGGTGAGATCATTGCCCCAGGGAGAATCTGGGCTGTCTGGCTGCTTCAGCTGTGCCAGTGCTTGCTCAGGTAATGAATGTTGTCCTTCCATTACCAGGCTACAGATAATTAAACGCAGTTTTGTACAAGGTTAGTTAGTTGTATAGTGCAAGCTACAGGGGCCAGTTTTATACCCTGAGTTTGCCCTCATCGCAGGAAATATCCCCAGCAGAATGCATTCCCACCCATCCCACAGTCACTGTCAGCACAAAGTTTGTGAGAATAGTTTGCTAATTCGCCTGAGGAAGAGTAATGCTGGGTGCAGCATGTTAGAAAGAGTAGGGTTGCCCCAGTAGTGATCACTAAGGTGCACCATAAATATATCAACAGATGTCTATCCTATATTGATTTTGCTTTGAGTGGGTGTTGTGGGAAACCGTCTTTAGCAAGTGTCCTTTGTCACTTGTTTAATTAACAATGCAATAATATTGTGTTATACTGCCTACAGAAATACCTTCCATAAACCTTGTGAGGAAGAAATCAGGCAGGTGGGGTCAAAAAGGCTAAAAGGAGTATGCATCTACTTTATTTTTGCATTCGTTTACTGAGGTCAAGTGTAAGGAGGTTGAAATGGGTGCAAAAGGAGTTGCTCACCTTTGGCAGTGCTTTGCTTCTTGCCTAGCGTAGCTAAGCTGTGTCTTTCCAGGCCCTTGGTGGTGGCAGGACAGCAGTTTGAAACCAGAGTATTGCCTACCATGAGAAGAAAGGTTAAAGGACTAAATGTCTCTGTACCCTTTCCATGGGAGCAGGGAGCTGTAGCTCGTGCAGTGCCTGGAAACCACAGATGGTAGAAGCTGGTGTTTCTGAGAGGCAGGGACTGACTGGAGCTGCTGAGGGCTTGTGCCATACTTGCGTATCAAAATAATCTTGATTTTTTTGGTGTTTGTGCTGTATTCATCTTTGGGGTTGAGATTGTTAGGATTCCAGATGTGTATGTGTTGGGGAAGAGGGACTTACTAAGTAGCATTGGGACTTGCTTCAAGTGTGAGCTCTCTCTCTAAGCAGTGACAGTTGCAGCTGTAGAGTATGTGGAGGATTTCAGTTGTGTGTGAAATCTGAAGAAAGCCCCATCAGAACAGGCAGCTTTCAGCTGTGCGGGAGGCACAGAGCTAGCTTAGCTATTTAAAAAGACCTATTTAAGGACAGGGTAAAGCATTAATCGACAAGCCAAAAATCTGCAGTAGTAGTATTGTTTTTCTAGAGGTAGTTTTAAACATCCTTGTGTTTTAATTAAATACCTTCATTTTCAAAATACTTACGCAATTTATAAGCTTTTTAGGTGCTCAAGGATGAAAGGAACCGCGTGCATGTGAATTACTACCTTATGTCTCAAGTTAATACTTCAGTAATAGTGCCACGTTATTGCTGTGACACCCGTTGCTGGCAGCACCATACGGCTCCTTGCTTATGTGATGGTTTCGAAGTAGCCCTGCTTTTGCTCTTCCTTTGATTTTGTAACCAGTTCATGACACTTACGTGACCCATTTAGAGCAAATGCAGTGCCATTGCCTTTGCACAGCATAATTTTTATAATGTAAACATGTATCAACTTCGTCTGGGCGTCCACACCTAATGTTTAACTGCCCATGTCTCTGTTGATGCATCCTTTAAAAATTAGTCAGCGTGCCCCAGAAAGTGAGACAGCATGGAAGATATGTGCCCAGTGCTGTATGCAGTGATGGTCTGTAGGATGCTCTACCATACTGGTAGCTGATGAGGAAGACAGACCAGTGGCAAAACCGGGTGGTCCCTGGCTTAAATACTTTAGTCACCAATCGAGTGTGAACAGTGTCATTGTGGACAGGGCTCTGTCAGTAGCTGCTGATTGTGACTGGTGGTTTTCTTTGCAGAGTTTGACAGGCCATACAACGCCCATCGAGAGCCTGCAGATCAATACAAACGAGAAACTCATTGTTGCAGGGTCCCAGTCAGGGTCCATTCGAGTTTGGGACCTGGAAGCTGCCAAAAGTATGTTTCCATGAGTTTTCATTTCTGATAATGCATGCTTTTTGGAATATCCTTATGCTTAGTATCTATGCTGACCCAGAAGGTTCTTGGCAGGTTCCAGGTCGGGAGCCTGGCATTGCTTTCATCTTGATTTCCAACTCCTAGAGAGCTTTTGTGCGCTTCCTGCTGCAACTGTGGAAACGTGTATCCATGCTCGAGCAGAAATTTGTATGTTTGTTGTGGAGACTGATCTGAGGAACTAGTTTCTAGGGTTTTGACCCGAATGTGTTGAAATCTATATTCCAGATGAGTTTCCATGCATGTATCGAGTAACCAGGCATATAGAATTTGTATTCAGAGTCTCAGCTTAAAATTGTCAACCTTAATAAAAGAATCCAAAATTAGATTGGAAGTTTTAAGTATATTAGGTTCTGCACAAGTCCAGGAATCCCCCATTTGCTGATTTCTTGTTCTCGTTCTTAGGTTCTAACTTTTATTTTGTTCCTCAAGTGATTTTTCTCCTCTTTTTGCTCTTGCATGACCAGATAAATAGGCAAAGACCTAATTTCTAGGAAATCATAAAAGCTGTGAACTCATTGAGCTCTGATTCTTTAAACGTCAACTGTTGAGTCATGTTTTATTTATTGCATTTTTCTCAAATCTTTGAACAAGTTTGCAAAGGTGTTGTGAATCACTCAAGTACATTCCAGCAGGAATACCATAAAATGACTGAATATTTCTTATAGGTCACTACAGAAAGAATGTGTATTGAAAATACTTACATTGGCTGAGCTAAGAAGGCAAACAGCAGGTGGCATAAATAATTAAAAGCACTTTTGTCATTCAGACAGCATCAGTTCAGTTATAAAATAGTTTGTCTCTACCAGTGGAGAGTAACTGCCTGAATTTATTAGGAGACCTGTGAGCCAGTGTCTGTGCAAATGACCACTCCAGCTCTGCTTTAAGAGCTAATTTCTGCCATGGGAATCATCAGACTGTCCTGGATGATGGATGACAGAGATTGCCCCTATTATTATCTGAGCAATTTTTCTTCCTCGAAGTTGAGTTCTGCACTCATCTCTTCTTTCAGAGATATAGTGTACCAGTTCTACTGGTCCTTTCTGGTTTCTAGAATTACAAGGGGTGTCACTTGGTTGATGACGTGCTAAAACACTGTGATCGTTTTGTTGTCTCATGCTTCCTGAGTGTCCCTTCCTGGTCTTTGAGATGCTTCTTGCAAGGGGCAGTTGAAGGAGTAGAGGCAAATATTGGAATGTAAGAGGTGGAAGTAGTATGGCTAAACTTCTGCATGCTGTTTGGGGGAAATGTACTGCTATATATTTGTTCCTTATTCCTTCTCCCCGCTCTGCCTCTCCTTTTCCCAGTTCTTCGTACCTTGCTTGGTCACAAAGCGAATATCTGCAGCCTTGATTTCCACCCTTTCGGAAGCTTTGTGGCATCTGGCTCCTTGGACACAAACATTAAGGTAAAGCTCAGCTTCCCCTAGAGATTACCCACTTTACTTGCAGTATCTTTGTTAGGAAGAGTGCCAGAATGTGTTTTGTGCCAAGCTGTGGGTAGATGCTGTACATCATCATTTCCATGTGTGTGGGCAGGTGTATTTGTGAGTGCTTGTGAAATTCATGCCTGTATTTTCAGCGGTAGTTCATGATTATGACTCCTCTGTTGTGGAATGTGGCTCCCAGTGAGGTGTCAGCCGAGACCGGGTGTCAGCAAGCGCAGATGTCCCGATTGCTGTGGATTGCATCTGCTTCATTGGGATGGTATTTCACTGTAGGAACTGAGCTTCTGTAGTAAGAAATACTTTACGGAAGCAATTTTCACTTGGGGAATTAGGTTAGGAAATACCCCTGAAGCGAACGGGGGTTTAACAGCCCCTTCAGTGTTTTCGTTCTGTGGTGTTCATCAGCGTAGCGACAGGCAGAGCTGTTGTTCTGCTGGGGGTCTGGGGCTCCCCACGTGCTGCTCTAAGCATATCTTGTCTTTGCTTTTCTTCCCTGTAGCTCTGGGATGTACGACGAAAAGGCTGCGTCTTCAGGTACAAGGTAAAATGCTTTATTAGTCTTCAGGCAAAGAGGGGAGAGATTTCTGTTGAGGACTTATGAGCAAACCTAAAAGCAATTATGTCAATTAACTTCCTCATTTTCCACTATAGATATAAGCTCTGTACAATTTGTGAAGTGGACTGGCAAACATCTGCAGGCCCCTGTGAACTGTGTGGAAATATGAAATGGTTATCATAGGCGTTAGTGTTCAGTGGTCTGGTTGGGTGCATGGAGAGCATCCATGAGTGTTTCTTTAGACTGTAACTGATATTACCATGTACTGATATCCCCACTGCACCGAGATGCTTCTGTTCTTGGTGTCTTTCTCTACCAAAAGAACTTTCTGTATATTAATTTCATTTAGAAGCCAACTTAATGGCACAGCACTTCTATCTGACCACCCATAAATCTGTGTAATTCAAAATTGATTCTTACTAATTAAGCCAGATCTGTATTTACCATGCTTAAACTGATGTCAGAAATGTCTAGATAAGAGAGATTATACCCATTTAGTGTGGATGGACTTGGGTGTAGTGCTTAGTGTTCTGTGAACTGTGGAGTTTGTGAAAGTGACTTGATTTTGTTATTATATTGTACAGGATTGAAAGACAAAAGCCAGAATTCCCTCTTAAATAAAACCCAAACAAAACCAAAAAACAAACAAAAAAAACCCAACAAAAAAAAAAAAACAAAAAACAAGTTCCCCCCAAAAAGGAAAAAAATACTTGGTTTTTCTTTTCACTTCAGGGTCACACAGAAGCAGTCCGATGTCTCCGCTTTAGTCCTGATGGGAAATGGCTGGCCTCTGCTGCTGATGATCACACTATAAAGGTAATTTATTGTGACACCCTCCTAATGTGCTCCCGGGACGTAAGAATGCTGGGATTGTCTTTCTACAAGGCATTACCAGCACTCATTTATAAACACCCTTAGTTCATTAGGCATCTGTCTGAGTGCTGGGGCTTTGCAGGGACCAGTCTGTTTATGAGTATCACGTCCAGTGGCCCACAACATCCAGCAAAGAGCTGCATGTGTTGAAATGCACTTACCCAACAGACACGTCGGTGCTTTGCACATGAAGGTTCATGTTACGATGGTGGTAGAGTTGTGATACCTGAAAGTTGGCCTTGGTCTTCTCAGTAAACGTTACAGAATAGATTGTCTTCTGCACGTTGTTTCACCATACCAGTTTCTGGCTCTGCTCAGTTAATTCAGTACGAGTGTGATGATCAGTCTGAAAATTGCTGTCAAGACTAAGCAGAGCAAGAGAAGGAATTCAGAAAAGTATGGACCAAGTCAGCAACATTGCTTTTTTTCAGATGTGGTAAGGAGGAATATGAGCAAAGGACTGCTTTTTGTGTTCAGTTTCGCATGAAATAAACCAATCGGTTATTTAACTCTGGATTTTTCAGTGGAAACCAGAGCACTGGAAGAATGAGTTGTGAAGGGATCGAGAACTTTCAGATCCTAGTTTGTTCACTTTTGAGAGATAATGTGCAAGGCCAGGTACAACTGCTGTATTTTATCCTAGTCTCTGAATATAAACCAGAAACTTATAGGGAACAAATTAAATGGAAAATTTAAAAGAGAATGCTAAAAAAAAAAAAACCAAAACCAAACCACAAAACAAAAAATAATGCAGCTTTAAACAACTGGGATGGTACTCCTTCCCTGATCATTGCTTACTTTGACAAACTTGAGTCTGTTCTTGGAGGTGCAACATGAGGACGTTGCCAGAACAAGGAAATCAGAAGTGTATTGGAATTCTCTAACATTAAATCTTTTCAAGAGTCTCTCTGTTCTTTCCTTCTTCAGCTGTGGGATCTGGCTGCTGGGAAGATAATGTTTGAGTTTACAGGACATACCGGCCCAGTAAACATTGTTGAATTCCACCCCAATGAATACCTTTTGGCTTCTGGCAGTTTTGACAGGTACATAAGGGGAGGGAGAAAGAAGGCAATTGTATATGTTGGTTTCCTTTCCCAATGCCCTTTTTTTTAGGAATGTCACACAACTCAAACCTGCCATTGCAAGAGCCTGACAAACCTTCCAGCAGCACGTCACATCTGTGACGCACAGAACATGGAGATCTTGCCTTCTCATCCAAAATTGATGGCGCCTTCTGCTGTACTAGAAAACAACACAATAGCTTTGAGCATCTCACTGATCCAGCTGACATTCTATCTGCACAGCAGGCTGCCCTGCCCAGCTGGCAGGGTGTCCTTCTAGCTCTGGGTCAGGTCTGAATACCTATCTGTACCTGGAGCCTCTAAGTATCTGTGGCTGGATTCACAGATCTTGGCCAGACTAGCCTTCTGTGTAGGTTCATCATGTGTGCACAACAGCTAAAGTCATTCCAGCTGTTAGCGTATTATTTCAATACTGGATTCTACAATGTATTTCTAGAGGGATGAGTGATGATTATTATGTTTTGTGTACAGGACTGTTCGGTTCTGGGACTTGGAGAAGTTTCAGGTTGTGAGCTGTATTGAAGAGGAGGCTACTCCTGTCAGGTATGTTAAATTCTCACTGTGGTATACTAGGCAGAGGCTAAAGAGGAGGAAAAGGGAGGATTTCCTGAAAGAGAGACTTTACTGAGGTGAAGTTTGGGCTGCTGGAGATGTTGCAGAGATGAACAGCAATTCGGTCGGTTCGTTGATAGAAATGGGGCTGAAGGTGTTCAATGAAGTCAGGGATACAACCCTGGGGTCCTTGTGGGACTATGCAGTGTTAGAAAGCTGTGCCTAATTCCCCACCTGCCTTTCTTCCAGATGTGTGCTCTTCAACCCAGATGGCTGCTGCTTGTATAGTGGCTTCCAGGATTCACTGCGTGTGTACGGCTGGGAGCCAGAGCGCTGTTTTGATGTGGTCTTGGTGAACTGGGGAAAAGTAGCTGACTTGTCTATCTGCAACAACCAGCTGGTAAGCCACTGCTCCCAAGGAGTGGGGCAGGCTGCTGTGAAACATGAGATAAAATCCTCCTGCCTCCTTGCAGGCCTTCTGACCTTTGAGCTTGTGTCAGACTGTGAGTGGCCGGGGCTCATAATGGGCCCAACACTTAAAGAGAGCTTGTGTGCTTTTGTTTTCAGCAGCTTCGTGCTCTGCTTTATATCTCTTTGGCTTCTAGAGGAAAGAACTGGCACTTGGTTTGACCAGTATTTAGAAACTATGGTTGGCAAAAGTTTTATCATAGCCTGTCATAAAACATTGGCAGCTTCAAATTGAAAAAGCCAAAGTACTGAATGGAGAAATTCTCAAGCACAATTGCTCAGGGTCACTCCATCATGCCTGCTCTCAAAACAGCTGGCGTGCACCCTTCTCCCTGGTGAATTACCTTGATCTTTTGCCTCTGCAGATAGGAGTTTCTTTTGCACAAAGCACGGTCTCCTCCTTCGTTGTGGATCTCAGCAGAGTCACAAAGTCGGGTTCTGTTCCTCATGGGCTGATGAGGGACGACGAACCTCTTGTGCTGCCTGCCCCCATGGGGTCCTCCCTTCGCCGCATCTATGACAGGCCCTCAACTAGCTGCAGCAAGCCACAAAGGTGAGGGGATCTGCTTGTTGAGTTTCAAGATTTTAAGGAAATGTACAAGAAGCTTAGTGCTCTTGCTCTCTCTGACAGAGTCCATGGTCTTGTCCTGACAGCATCTCTTTTTCCAGCAGAGTGAAGCACAACTCGGAGAGTGAGAGGCGCAGTCCTAGCAGTGAAGATGACCGGGATGAGAAGGAATCAAAGGCTGAGATCCAGAACCCAGAGGATTACAAAGAGATCTTCCAGCCCAAGAACGCTATTTGTCAGTACCAGGCTTTATTGTGCTTTTGAGTGGTGTTTGGATTAGAGCTGTAGGTGCTAAACTGTTTCAGTAGAAGTGAGCCTTGGCTTATTATAATAGAGGCTTTGCCTGCAACTGGGAGAGTACAGAAAACTTATTTAGTATTCTGAGCTTGGATGTTGAACCATGAATCATGTTGATGAACTGCTGGAAGGTGGTACCTTTACTAGGGTGCAATGATGGCTGGTCAAAGCCTGGCTCAGAATCCAGAGCTCTGCTGTAAGCATGCTGCCTTCCTGTCCTGGTTAGGAATGACTGCTGTGTTACAGGATCTTTATCTTAGAATTTTGATATGTATAAAATCAGCAGCCTCCATTAAAGAGGAAAAGGCAAAGTGTTTTATTAAAGCAGAGGTTGCAGTTTGGGAGGCATAGTGTAATGCCTGTATCTCATTTTTAAGGAATTAGTAGTAGTTATTTTGATTTACTTATGTAAATCGATTTAGCAGGAGGTGAATTTTTTCTAATATAACTTGTGACAGTGCCTTTTATTGTGTTTCACACTTCTGCAGCAGCAACTTTTGTCCCTCCCATCCATGAAGGCTGAAAGCCTTTGGTCAAACTCAGCAATAGTGTCGAGGCCCGAGGAAGCTAACTTGTTGCTGTATCACTGACTGCCTTAATCTTTGGGGTTATTGGAGATCCCCCAGCTCCATGGTTGATTTATTGCTCACTTGTAGCCTCGGACACTCCTTCATGTGTTTTGGTTGGGTTTTGTCCCCTTCTTTCTGTAGGTCGGACTCCTCCTCGAAACAATGAGCCCTTTCCTGCCCCTCCTGAGGATGGTGAGTATGAAAATGACGCCTTGGTGGGAATGGGGTTAATGGCCCTCAAAAGAGGGAGAGATGCACATCTGCAGTAACAACTGCTTGTAGTTTAGCTGTAGAGAACCTTTTCAAATTCTCTTGAAAGGAGCAATCAGTTTCTGCTTTCTCACCTCTTTTCATGTCGGTAGAGCCTGTAGCTGCAAAGGAAGCAGTGAAGCCCAGCCAAACTGCAGATGTCCAGACCCCGTTGCCAAAGCAAGAACTTGTACGTACTATATGATCTGTTAAGAGCTGCTCATGCTCTCGCTCTGAAAGATAATGTGACTGCTGGAGACTTTATGATTTCTAATCAAGCTGATTCCTTTGCTGAAGAGCAGTAAATGTGCAGCTCCAGTCTTTGTCCTGCCATGTGTCTCACCTGAGCAGTAGAATCAAAGGCCAAGCCTCCAGCAGGCGATGGTTCTATTGCTTTTTGTTTACTTCTTGCACTTGCAGTGATGTTTCTCCTTGCATCTCAAAATTGAGGTACTCTGAAGAGAACCAAGTGCCAAATTCCTGCAAGTGCTTGAACTTGAGGCTATTTTGTAGCCAAAATCACAAGCAGCTGGTGGGCCAGGATATATTATGCTGTATTCTTTAGAATTCCTTCTTTGCCTTCAGGCTGGCCATGGCTCATTTCCCTAATTTTAGATGCCGATAACAACAGCAGCACTTGGCATTTCTGCTGGGGCATCTCCATGTTCTTTGCAAATCTTAATTACATCTTGGTATGTACCTGAGGGATACTTTATTGCTAGCAAATTGGAGACCGCTTCTGCATTAGCTGAAAGCGGGTCAGGAAAAAGGGGCATCAGACTAGGACCAGATCGTTGCTGCTAGAGCTTTTATCCCAATTTCTCCTGCAGCCTGAACCAGTTCAGAAGCCACCGATTGCCTCCTCGACTCCTATGCCCAGAACAGAGCCATCGGTGATTCCTGCAGCCAGGAATGAACCCATTGGCCTGAAGGTCTCTGACTTTCTACCAGTAAGTGTCTCTGGACAAATGTTTCCAGCTGGTGTCTGTGTTGGGTGACATCAGAAAGGGGGTTCTCTGAGATGAATAGTGTCTGAGATGCAGGACTGCAGCCTGCAGTCATTACTACTGAACGAGAACATGCAACCTCCTGCTCTCCCTCTGCTCACTTGGTGTGTCCCCTGCTGGCTCACTCTCCTGTCTCCCAACTGCTTTGACTTGCAGTTCCTGTGGAATTAGCACCCCTGGGTTGCTGGAGTGACCAGCCATCATCCCCATTGGGGTTGACAGCAGTGCTGGTCTGTGCTCATGAAGAATGTGTTGTTGAAGCAGAGAGTAAGAGATAACACAAAGACACTGAGCAATCTGGACAGTGATTCATTTAGAAAATTGGTGTCTGACATTACACATACGTAACTATTTCAAGAGTCTTTCCCTCCTGTGTCTCAGAGGCCTTTTAGTCTCTCTCAGGAGCGTGTTCCCTGTCCTGAAAAGGGAGAAGGACCAGAGCATCCTTATTATACCAAACTCTAGATGTGAGCAGAGGAAGAGAGATTCCAGCGTGGTGTGGGGTGTGGGTGGGAATCACAATTTGGAGTCTAATAAAGTGTGCAAGATTTCTGCTTTGTAATATTTTTTTTTATTTCGGATGAGCATTTCACATAAAAAAAAAAACCACAGGGTTTGCATGAAAAAAAATTCCTTATCAAAACTTACTGGTCTTGAAAGTAGCTTACTTCTAATTAACTTTTTAAAATTTTGAGACTTTTTCCAAAGCTTCAAATGTATTTGTGATTGACCCAGTAGAAGAGGCAAAAGAGAAGTAGCTGAAATTGGGACACATTGAGCGTTTCTGTTTCAAAAATGTTCATAAAACAATCTGCAAGGAAGTCAGTGTTTCCTGTCCTACCTCAAAATCAGCTCTTGTGTGCTAGAGACAGCTCCTGCCTTTCTGTGCCCCCCTGCTCTGTTATGCTTCTCCATTGGTGTCTCTACTTTCAGGCTGTGAAAAACCCAAGCCAAAATGAGCTCGTGGATGAGGAAGCCATGTCGCAGATCAGGAAAGGCCATGAGACAATGTGTGTGGTACTCACTAGCCGCCACAAGAATCTGGACACTGTGCGGGCTGTATGGAGCACCAGTGACATCAAGGCAAGGATGTGGAGATACCCGTGGCTCATGATGGGAGCAGCTGAGCCACATTTTTGGCTTGGCTCGGGCTGATTCTGCCTCTTGCACAAAATGTGGAGTCTCACAGCTCTTTGTCCTCAGAGGTACACAGCAGAGTGCTGCTGTGTCCCACCTGTTCTCACGCGAGAGCTATCTTCTCTTCCCTAGTCTACTCCATGTTTTCTGTACCTTGTTTTTGAAAAGCAGCACTTAATACTATTGCATTAGCGTTTGAGCTTTGTGATAGATGACTACTTCTTCCTTTTCTCTCTCAGAACTCTGTGGACTCTGCAGTGGCGATCAACGATCTGTCTGTTGTTGTGGACCTCTTGAATATTGTCAACCAAAAAGCGTGAGTCCTGGGTAGGGGCAGCCCCTGGGGTACCTGAGAGCCATCTGGCTGCGCTCAAAGCATTGCATTGTACCCACCACATGTCCAGTGGGCCCTGACAGTGGGGAATGCATGAGTTTGTAGTCAGATCTTCACGTCTGCAGTGCCAGTAACTGCTGGAGTTGTGTGGGGCTTTTCTATAGGCTAATGATGTCTTGCAAGGAAAATGGAATTCTTAGGGCTTCATAAAGTGGTTCTGCTGAGTCAGTAAGTCAGAATCTCCCGCTTCCTATCACAAGGGGGAGACAGTGAACTTGTTCACTAAACTTGGGTGCTGCTGCCTGGACTTTTTTTGCCAGAAAGTATTGTTTGTGTTGCCTCAGTCTCTGGTCTCAGAATGTGTCCTTTTCAGGTCTCTCTGGAAGCTGGATTTGTGTACTATAGTCCTGCCGCAGATAGAGAAACTACTCCAAAGTAAATACGAAAGGTGAGGCCCCAAGAACGTGGTGTGCTTGGAGGAAAAGGTGTGATATTCATAGGAGAGCTCCATTGGGTATTTTGTAGCTAAAAGAAAATAATGAAAAATCACAGCAGATGCAGTATGGTGCCGATATGAAGCCTGGAAAAGAGCAGTGGAGTAGCCAAGTGTGTAGGGGAAAAGATATGGAAAGTATGCCTGGGCAAGAGGAGTAGGATATTGAGATTTGGTGTAGGTGTGTTGGACTGAAGGCAGCTCTGGCAGCCAGGAAGGGTCAAATCTGATGTAGAACAAGTGGGCTCTGTGCAATGATGGGAATGAAACTGTTGAATTGAGACAAGGGGAATGAAGTCCTGCAACAGCCTTGTGGTCACTTGGAAGATTGCTTTGAACCTCATTGTTAGGTGGTAAAAAAAAAATAAATGTGGCCTTTCTCAAGATGGAGTTTCTGCCTGCCCTTCCTGCTGGGAGAGAGGCTTTGGACGAGTCCCCTCAGCAGAACATCTCTGCTCTTGAGTAGAAGGTCTCACTTAGCAGGTTAAGGACTCTCGTTGTCAGCAGTGACTCAAACCGAGCCTGTGTTGGTACTTGGCTGGTGCTCTCCTTGCCAGGTTACGTGTGGTGGAGGGGGGTCATTTGAGTAGATCATCCCTGGTGAGTGGATGTGAGTGAGGACTGTGCTGGGAGGACAGGAAGGACACTCAAGGGGGACCTGATTCTCTGTTTGTCTTTCAGTTACGTGCAGACTGGCTGCACCTCCCTGAAACTCATTCTCCAGAGGTTTCTGCCACTGATCACAGACATCCTCGCTGCACCACCTTCTGTCGGAGTGGACATCACCAGAGAGGAAAGGTGAGGCACTTACCTTCGCTTCCTCCCTTTCTGAACCAGTCTTTCTCTTGGGTGAGCTTTGCTCCTCACTTTTGAGGCTTTGATACTAGACTGGGCATGCCTTCTCTTTTGTCTGCAAACACCAAACCCTCCCACTCTGAGAAAAAGGAGCAAGGACTGCTTTTCCCCTCTGTCACTCTGTATTTAGTCATAACTAAATCAAGTGTGAGAGTGTCAGGAGTAAAACCACCCTGTGGCTTCATCCTCTGCCTCACAAGACATGTGAGTTGTCAGCCGGGCCCTGGATTTCCAGTTCATTCACAGGATGGCTCTGCTCTGAGAACTGGCCCTCCAAAACCAGTACCTCCTTCCTCCCTGGACTTTACTGCCAAAGGGGAGGAGAGAAGCAAAAGCGCCCTTCTGTGGATGCCATTCTCCTGTGTCACCAGGATGTGGGCTGAATACGTGGTGTTTCTGCAGAGCCAGGCTCACATTTCAGCCTCTTCCAGGCCATTTGCAGTGTTTTCTCTCCTGCTTGAGTTGCACCTTTGGTGCTACAGGAACAAGCACGTTCTCTCAAGCGTCTGAGGATTCATGCTGTGTCTGCTCTCTTCATTTTGCAGGCTCCATAAATGCAAGCTGTGCTACAAGCAGCTGAAAAACATCAGCAACATTGTGAAGAACAAGTCTGGGCTCAGCGGCCGCCATGGTAGTGCCTTTCGGGAACTGCATCTCCTCATGGCTGTCCTGGAGTGATGGCTGCCTCCTCCTCATGTGCAAACACAGATGGCCAAGCTCCCCTCTGCTCTTGGTCTGGCTGGATTTTACCTCTTTCCGTGTGTCCATCTTCTCCTTACAGCACGGCAGGGAAGTGGAATCTTGCTGGCCCAGCACCGGTGCCTTATGGGCCGGATGGGGGACCTTACTGGGGACACGCCAGTGCTTTTGAAGGGACCTGGCTGAAAGAGGCCCTGCAAAGGCCCTGTAGGGAAGCAGCTTCATTTCAGCTTTTCATCTCGGCACCAGGCTCTTGGCTGCTCTGTCTCTGTGCTGGCCTTTCCCTGGCAGGAGTGCTCCAAGCCTGTTGTCACCCCTCTTTCACCCGTATGCGTTGTTGGTTCTTGTCGCTCAACTCTGTGGTCTGAGGCTGCCTGGCCCTGCTCTCTTTTTGTGCCCCACAAAAGCCTGTGGGGTGGAGTGTCCATTCCCAAGCAGAAGGGACATTTTCAACTGCCCGTGTGGGACCAGCCCCTTTGGCTTCATCAAATGTGGGCCAGGACACTGTGCCACCCTGCCTGGTGCAGTCTCGAGAACCCATATGGAGAGGAGGCTGGCACCTGGACCACAGAAGAGGAATTTCTTCAAAATGTTGCTGGGACCTGAGCTCTGCCTGGATCTGTTAATGGATGTGACTGAAACAGGACTTGTTCTATGTGTTTGCCTTTGCGGATGAGGATTTGGGAGGGTGGAGGAAGAGAGGGACATGGACTAATGTCTTTCTACGTCCACTGGACCATTCTTAAAGGGTTTTTTTTTCTCCCCCCCCCCCCCTCTCAACCCAAATATGATGTTGCAGTTTAGCTGTACCACAGAATGAAAAAATACAGACTGCAAAAAAACCCCACCCCAGACCCCAAACAAAAAAACCTACAACCCAAACCTGTCCATCCCCCCCAACA